CATGCACACACACATCAGATCGGTGCATGTTGGGAACCTTCTGGGATGTAAGCTCCATATAGATACCTAGCTCATTAGAGTAAGGATCCTTCCTGTGATAGGTGCTCAATAAAGGCTGGTTGTGAAGAAACTGAAAGTTCAGGAAAAAAGCTTGCTCCTAGATCTGTTATAAAAACCACAACAAAACTGTAACACATTACTATTAATGTGTATATTCTTTTTCTTTTCAGCACTAGAGTTCAAACCCAGGGCCTGAGCATGTACTCACCACCCAGCTATAGTCCATGTTCATAGCTGTTTCTCAATTCACATATTATACATGGGTTTATAAAATATCTTGAAAAAATAACAAATTATGATCTTTTGGATTACTAGCATATTAAATGACAAGATATGGTGGCATCCTGGCACATCTAATAAATACTTTTGTAGAAGCATTGGGCATAAATTATACTTTGAGGCATCTACACAGCCTATAATATGATATGAGAGCTTGTAATTCCAGTCTGTGCCTAATTCAGTGACCACTGGTATTGCCATGGTTTGATACTTATATGATCTCAGGCTGCATTTGGTAGGAAAAAATGAAAGGCCCCTCTGAGCTCTTCCCATGCAAACACAAAATTGATACCCCTGGCTTTCATAGTAGAACACACACACACACACACACACACACACACACACACACATCCCATTTAGGACTATGCAGGGCATATGGGGTAGAAGTGGCATTTCCTTTTTGGTTCTTTCTCTATGCCTATTTCTGAGTCTCTGTCTCTGTCTCTGTCTCTGTCTGTCTGTCTGTCTGTCTCTGCAGCTAGGACAATCTAAGCTCCTTAGATGAGATCTAAGGAAGTGGGTGTGTTAGGAGTGTGGGAAGAGTAAGCTTTCTTCTTGAACTTTCAGTTCATTCACAGTGAGCCTTTATTGAACATCTACTATGTGCTATACATGGTTCTAAGTGTCTTTGGGAAAGTGGTCAACCTAGCATGGAGCAGGACTGTTGCAGGGATAAAGCAAGCATAGCATGGAGCAGGACTGCTGCAGGGGTGAAGCCAGACTAGCATGGAGCAGGACTGCTGCAGGCAACAAGGAGAAGAATCACATGGAGGGTTGCTAATCAGAGCTTCAGAGATCCAGATTCCTGGACCAGTGCATGGCTCAGAAGGCTGGAACAGCAGAAAGAACCCTGGATTGGGAACTTTCTGGACTGTAGGCTCCCCATCAACATCTAAAAACTCAGAATAAGGATCATTCTCCTTTCTTCTTGACTCCCATGAGCTGTTCATTATAGACACACTATCACTTCCACAGAAACAAAACTGGAGTGTGACAGGATTTGAAATATCAAATCCTGCCTTGACTTTGGCTACTAATCACATGATAATGTCCAGTGGCTGCATAGGCCCATGCTAAAAACTTTAATCTCAGATAACTTATGTGAAAATTTACATGGAAACCATACTAGCAGAGGGAGAAAGTGAAAAAACATTCTGTGGGTGAGGTGCCTAGAAAATTGCTTCTTTTGTGGAGCAGCAGTTAAACCCCACATTCCATTATGTGCTAATAGAATCTTCTTGTAATTTTAATGTGCTGTCCCAGGTTATAATACTCAAATGCAATATTCATGTACAAATCATCTCCAAAATGAAATGCTCATGACTTTGGGTGACTGAGTCCAATGTTTACTGCCTTTCCAAACAGAAAAGCTGCAAATATATGCTTTGGCTAAGTATGAGTAAATAAAGACAGCCCATTCCTCAAGCCTATGAAAAGTTTCTCATGCCACAGGAGCTCCTGAGGACTTCGTTTTGTCTCAGAAGAAGATGGTAGCAGCCCAGAGTCTGGGTGTCAACCAGGGGATCAGAGTCAACTCTTTTAGCCAATATTTAATTTCAAAATTTTCATTTACTCTGTCCTGTGCATTCATCATAACTTAAAACACAAAAGGTGAAGTTGGAAGACACAGTAAATCTAAAGACACCCTCTTTTTATTGGTGTTGGCTTCTGGCTTTCTCCCATAAGGACCAAGCAACAGTCTGCATCTATGGAACTAATAATACGCAGAAGGGGATCAAGGTTGTTCTCTCTGTCCTCTTAGTTTTCTCATTGCCATGGTTACCTTGGGGCATCTGGGCAACAGGTGGCGCCAAAGCAACACAGGCACTATGAAGAGCCATGTACTGGTCCTGGTTCAAAATGACTCCATGAACCCACAATAGGAGTTCCAACAGCCTCCCAAATCAGATGCCCCTGCAAGAGCCTTGCAAAGCATTTAGCAAGTACTAGTTACCCAAGCAATGAATGGAGGCAACCATCAATCAATTCTTCTGTATGGTGACACCCCTCTTCCATCCCTAGCATCCTGAATCCTTTCCATGCTTTATGTTATCTACTGCACCTTCTTTCTCATGTGCAAGGTTCTTATTTAGTTTGTCATCTGTTTCTGCTCATGAGGCATATGTCTCGAGATGGCAGAGTGTTTGTCTGCATGTTCTCTGCTGTATCCCTACAAGAATGTATTCCATGCCTCAGGTACTCAGCACATGTATTTACTCAAGGGATGAACGAACAACAGAACAGGCAGGAACCACAACCATTAGACAATTAGGACATCACAGAAATGACACAACCTGGTACCCATCCAGTTCCTCTAACATGTGACATCCAGCAGCGATATTAGAGGAATGGGTTCTTTGAAAGGTTCAGTAATTTCAGCCAGGCTTGGTAATCTCAGCACTTGGGAAAGTGAGGCAAGAGGCTTCCCTTGACTTTGAGGGTAGCTTGGGCTGTATAATGAGTACCAGGCCAGCTGGAGCTACACAATAAGAACTTGCCTCAAAAAACAAAACAAAACAAAACAAAACAAACAAAAAATGGACAGGTAAAGTAACTTCTCCAAAGTCACAGAGCTAGGGGTTTTGAACTTGACTCTGAGGCAGGCTCTTGAGGTTTCTGTCATTCTTTGCTGCTTCAGTTCACCAGCAAAAAATGGACAGGTTAAGTAACTTCTCCAAAGTCACAGAGCTAGGGGTTTTCAACTTGACTCCGAGGCAGGCTCTTGAGGTTTCTGTCATTCTTTGCTGCTTCAGTTCACCAGGGACCCTCCCACAGGGGTAGAAATGAAGGATCTGAGCACTTCCAATGCTTCAAAGACACAGTGTCCAAGAATAAGAGTCCTATTTTGCTTTGAAAGGTTTTCTGGGGGCCCCATGAGGACTTGCACCTTCAGAGTGGCCCTCCTAAGTTTCACATGGAAGCACTTGCATTCAGTTTTACTTCCCAGATTTTGAGAAATTGTGGCTTGCCTTCCAATGTTTATTTTTACTTATAATATAAAACCAAGTCTTAGCTAAATAGACTCCACTGGTATTCAAAGGCCTGCATTTTAACAGCTGAGAAGGAATGTAAATCACATGGAGGGGTCCAACTGCTCCCAGAGAAGGAGAGCTCAGTGAAGAAGGGCTCCATTTTGTCATTTCCTGGCTGCCATCTTGGCATAACCACTAAGTATGGGGCTATCCCAGGACTTTCTTGTGAGATCTAAAAGGATGGATGCTACCCTCAGGGTCCTCAGAATGTTCAAAGAAGCCTTAGCAATTCACCAAAGTAACTAATTCTACAGCTGAGCAAAATAAACACAGAGAAAAGCAACTGAGGCCCAGAGAAGACAAACAATGTCCCACAGTCACATTCCTGGACAAATCAATATGCTCTGTGTTCCTCACGGACAGCACCTTGTCATGTTACCACTTTAGAAAAACATAAACAAGGCATTTCATTAAGGCATAAAACCAAGGGTTTAACCATGGTTTAGTTGGTAAAGTACTTGTGTAAAAAAAAAAAGAGAGCCCAAGTTTGATCTTCAGAACCCAATTAAAAAGCCAAGTGTGGTGCTGCACACTTGTAATCCTAATGCTCAGAGGCAGAGGTAGATGGATCCCTGAACTCTATGGTCAGCCATACCAGCCTAACTGGTGAACTCTAGGCCAGCAAGGTGCTATAGAAGAAAAAAAGGTAGATGACTCTGAAACATCCAAGGTTGACCTCTGGCCTCCACATGAACACACACACACACACACACACACACACACACACAATGGTCAGCCATACCAGCCTAACTGGTGAACTCTAGGCCAGCAAGGTGCTATAGAAGAAAAAAAGGTAGATGACTCTGAAACATCCAAGGTTGACCTCTGGCCTCCACATGAACACACACACACACACACACACACACACACACACCAACATATCCACAGAACAAAGCATGATAGCTCACAAACTCTGCAATCATTCAGTCATCTGACATGCTCACACGTTACAGACATATGAAACAGGGGAGCTGTGAAGTCAGGCTCCTTGGTCTAAGTTCTATGTCTGGAACTAACACTTCATCATGTGCTGCTTCAATATCTCAGTTGGAAAACAGTGGCTGAAGGAAGCAATGCCTACCTCTAAGAGTTTGAAGGCTTAAATAAGATAGTGTGGA